TTATATATATTTGGTGAGCGGTGGACGGAGGATTTAGATGCCCGTAGCTCTCTCGTTTTTTTGTTTTTTTTTTACAAATACTTACAGTGGGGCCTGCTCCACTACTCACCACATGCACAAAAGACATAGCACATGCCGGTGCATCATGCATGGTTCCATGTTCTAGCAGAAGATTCATTCTGCTAATATTATATACATTTGGTGAGTGGTGGAGGGAGGCCCTGAGAATCACGTGGAGACACCAACAGGGTCTAGCTCAATTGGTGACCCATAACTCCCGAGCTACAGACCTGAACTCGACGCCACAGTATATATTGGTGGTCTGCTCCCACCTTTCTCATTGTGATGCGGCCACCCTGCTTGCTGAAGCAGCGGTACTCAAAGCCTCCACAATGTCTAAGTGCATTGTCGGAGTCATTTGCCTGCAGGGGGCCCTAAATTGACGAAAAGGGAACCCTTTGGTCTCTCTCTCTCTCTCTCTCTCTCTCTCTCTCTCTCTCTCTCTCTCTCTCTCTCTCTCTCTCTCTCTCGCTCGCTCGCTCGCTGTGTGCGCGCCTTGGTGCTTTTTTTTTTTTCAATCTGAACTCGGCCTCTGCCATCGGCAACAGGCCAGAAGGTCCAGAACCTTGGCCCCCACTGCTCCCCGCCGCCTGGGACCCCACACACACCACCAACCACTCAGCACACCGCGAAACGCCCTCTCTCCGCGAAAGCGCTGAAGGCGCTCAAGCCGCGCTCGAGTGCGGTTTTGAGCGGCGCTAAAAAACTCGAGCGCGGCCCCCGCGCTCAATCAGCGCGCGGTTTTACTGGCCTCCAGCCATCTTTTGCTTGCGGCTAACTCAGATTTTTTTTCTTTTGGGTAAAGGATGAGTGATCTGATCTATTTTCCTCTCTACTTTTCTACGAGCCTGTCGAGTTGGGTATGATCGTCTGTGCCTGATTCTGGCGCGTTTTGGGCCAAAACGGTATGAATGAATCGTCGAGTTCACTGGAGTGTTGTGATGCTGCACTGATGCATGCATACTTGTCGATTTCTCATTCTTCTCCTTCTTTTGCAATATAGACTAGGAAGTCGTGTGATTGACCATGATCCCGCCCCCAGCCTCTGAATTTCGACCAATGCATGGATGTCAAGCTTTAGAGGAAACACGTCTTTTGGTCCGTCTAAACTGGCAATCAGAATGGCTGATCGTCCATTGGTCGCGTGATCTTTGCCGGCTATACGCACATGTAACAACGTATGCATGGGTGTTCCGAAGGGAAACGGAGTAGATGGGCACGTTAGGTGTATGGATGTATTCCCTCAGGCGCGCCCGACCGAACTCATTCTTGGAGAATGACGCACAGGTCTTGTGCACGCACGTGTAAGCTTGACCCCGAGGGCCGCCGCGTACACTCGTGCCTGCAACCCGCCTCCCAAATGACAGGAGATCTGTTGGACCTGCAGTATGAATGTTGAAACTCCTTTCCATGTTACTGATCCCGAGTGTTTGAGAGACAGGGAATTCCGAGAATATTGGGAGCGCACGCACTTCTTTGCACGGCCCAGAGCCAAACTCCCGGAATTCCCCTATCAAACGGGGCGCGAGCACGTTTGTCAGTGGGACATCGCGCGAGCCTTAAACGACATTCCCTACCCTTTTCGCCGTTCCAACCCGCCCACGTGTCAGATTATCGCGGAACCCGGCATCGTCATCATCGAAACAAAATATCCTCCGTATAACCTCATGTTACCCTTCCATAGCCTAACGATCGCCCCCTGGCGTGCGATTGCTTCTTATTGGCGTGACCCACCTTGTTCTGAGTGCCAGCAGGACCGCGCCTATCGAGCTGCAGGGTTCACCCGACGAAGCCTCTCCGAAACCGAGTGGCGGGCACATAGTCTTCGATTGAGGCCTGCCACGTCAGATTCCAAAACTTGCGACGTTCGTCGGCAACAAGTACTCAGACAGCGCGATAGCCACAGCGTCCCGCCGGTACACCATGTACGGGACCGACCCCGACGACGGAAGCAGCGGAGGTGGTGATCCCAAGCGACCAACTTCCTGCAGTTTTGTCCCCGAAACTTACCACCGGAGATCCCAGTTCCGACCTGGGACTCCACCCCCACTTTCCTATAATCCTTGGCACACCCCTTTTTTGCACTTCTGGGCCCCCATTTCACTCCGATCAGGAAGTCGTGCTGGGCGTGAGGTTGGGCGTCACAGTGCCGGTCTTGCACACTTTCTGACAGTACTCGACACACATTTGGGAGCCATCTGTCTAGTGTAAGTGGAGCGAGGCAGAACTCTCGAATTTTCGAGAGGCTAGTGTAGTGCAGCAAGACCCCATGTCCCACATCCTCGATTGAGCTAGCTCGAGGTTTAGATTTCGACAACGTGTGACTGTGGGCGACCTTGGAGATGCAGGTCGTCCAAGTGTATCTAGCGGTATGTTTTTCTTCAGTTATTTCAATAGTGACTACTGTGGCTTTTTCCTACTAGTTGAACAAAAAGCCACTTTTGGTGAAAAATGGGGATCCCACATGGTTCCACGTCCGAAGGCATTGGAAAACTCTCCGGCTGTTTTTATTCTCATGAATGTGTGTGTCGCCACGGCCGTGACCCGCGGTGCAACATGTTACGAAATTCCCAAATGCCCATGACCCCTTGCACTTCCCCCAAAAACTAGGCATTTTTTGTGATTTTTTATTTTTTTATTTTTTTGGGTGTGTCGCTGCTGTTCAGTTTTGTGTCCGTGGTCCTTGTATGTGGGACTGGAAACTTCTTGAACGACGCCCGTGGGTTGCTTCTCGAACCCGATAGCTCCGCAGGACCCGTTCACGCCCATCACAAATCGCCTAGGCAGTCGGAAAAGCCCCTCAGTGTCCGGGCCTATGGGATTCAATTTTTCTTTTACGAATCGTTGGAGGAAATTTTCCGAATATTGGTTAAAAGGCCGTTGTGGGATCCTGCCCTGAGCTGTCTCCTTTTTTCAAGACAGCCAGCTCCAGTGTATACTGCCGTACGCATACGGCCCGTCCCCACATCCAGACGTCCGTAATTACGGGCCCCCCGGCGCCCGTACGGCCCGTACATACGGACTTTGAGCCGTCCATACACGGCCTTCCGGAGGGGTGCCGAGGGGGTGGATGCGCGGGGGGGGGGTCGGGTGTTAGGGGGTACCCCCCCCATTCAAAAAAACAGTAAAAAAAAAGATATTTTTTTTTGGGTCCGGGGTGATTTTTTTTTTTTTTTGATTGATTGATTAATTCGTTGATTGATTGATTGATTGATTGATTGGCAGTGGGGGGGTCGCCTCCCCCCCGCGAACACACACACACACACACACACCCACACCCACCCACACCCACA